CATTTTCGATATATGATCAACAGAGCCCCGCCCTAACTCCAGAACCCCTGACCCTAGGGCCATGAATTTCACAATTTTGGTAAAGGGCTCAATGTTGATTAAAATTATGCCAACAGTTTGACTGCTTGATGTCCAGGAGTAATGAAGAAGATTTTTAAAAATTGCATTAATTTTAGTGGTTTTGGCCCCACCCCTCAGGCCCCAGGGGGGCAGGGATCATGAAATTCACAATTTTTGTTCCCCTTCACCCATAGATGCTTTGTGCCAAATTTGGTTGAAATTGGTTCAGTGGTTGCAGAGAAGAAGCTGAAAATGTTCAAATGTTAACACACGACACACGACACACGTCACACGACACACGACGGACGACGGACGACGACGGACGAAAACGGATAGCAATAGGTCACCTGAGTAACTCAGGTGACCTAAAAATTAATGTGATATTGTTATAAATGTATAATAACACATTTCAATAATGTTAGTTACCCTTACACTTGATCTAGTTGTTCTAGTGGATTGAATTGTTTTGAATAATTTTCACATTTTAAATAATTGATAGCTTTGATTGCCAGGGATAAACAAAGTTTGAAGACCTCAGTTATTATTACTTCATTTCAATGATTGAACGAGATGCCGCTACAGACATATTAAGCTTGGAGTTGTACTGAATGATTATCTGATTCAAAGTCTGTTAAATCATCTAAGCTTAAAATATTATTAGGAAACCAGCAATTTACTGGACATTCCACAAATTAACTAGTAATTATAGAGTATGTAAATAGTTATTCTCTTTGACTTTAATATATTTTGAGGGCTAAAAATGAAAAGATAACAAAAGCCATTGTGAAGTAGTGATAGACAAATTTATATTTAATTTTGTCTTCTTTGTGTGTCAACTTCTTTATCTTTAGTATAAAAATCCTCAAAATCCTCTGACAATATTGTATTTGTGTATAGCAAAACTCACTTTTAAAAAAGTCGCTGGGACCTATGAAATTTTTTTGCTATATCTGTAATTTGTTATGACCATTTAAAAAATTCATTAAACATATATTATAGCTGGGGATCCAAGATGAATTTGCTATATCCGCGTTTGTACTAAGGGAGTTTTACTGTATTGTTAATAATGTTCATATACAGTATATTTGTGTATTACAACTACCAATGAGTAACACATGCACATATTAAAGCTGACATGAATTCTTAAATACGCAACATTTTCATCTATGTACGACTTGTTTCATACCAACTATAGCCGTATTCCGCCATATTTCTTTCAGATACCTTGTCTGATTGTAACGATGTATACCCCAATGCGCTCGTTACACTTGAATGATTTTTTGGATTGGGTATCGACTTGTGCACATCTCCGATGGTAAAGCATATGAGAACACATGAGGTGATCAAGACATTTCAAAAACAAAATAAACAACATAATAATCATATTTTTGATTGATTATTGATTTGAATCAAAAGAAAAAAAATGCAAGTTTGGAAGAGAAATTTAGATGCATGAGTACGTATTCTTACAGTGCGCCAATTTATGCAGAATAAACTTGAAATGAAAAGCAGTAAAATTTGCAAACACATTTTGAAATTATATCATTTGAATGGAACAAAACAACCAACGTCTTTGATTTGCAGGTCCTATGCAATTGATGCATATCGAGAAAACACCTGTAAACGTACCCATACCTGGTAATAAGGTTACTGCATCGGTTCGAAAATGTGCATAAGTCAAGTGAAATACACCCTGAATTCCATTTATTGAAATATGCATCACAAAAATGAAATAAACTCCATAAAAGCTCAATAGTAAACACACTGTCATTACTCCGTACACACTAGCACGACGATACACTTAGTCCGTGCTGATCAGATTTTGGTCAGGGAAAATATCAAAAGTGGAAAGAGAAGTTATTTGGTATTTGCGCGGCTGAAAGGGGAGGGGGGGGGGGTATTATAACTGATGTTCATAAGCTATAATTGTAAATTGTTTATCTACATGTAGTTCTAATATACATTCTAGACAAAGTCATGTATATATAGTCTGCAGTTGGTTTGCGTGGCAAAATTCATTTGTCAATTAATATAACTGATTATTTTAGTACTAATCTCAAATCTAAACAAAGTAATTTGATGTACGGCTATAATTTACTTCAAATCTTAAAAGCAATTAACCAGAATACAAATTTTTATGTGTACATCTATACATTCTTTAACACATACACACACGGAGAAAGGCCATCCCCTGTTCAGATTGATATTAAGGCATTTGATTTTTTGGACGGGGGGGGGGGGGGGGGGCATACAAAAATAATTGACATGACCGTTATTTAAATATTCTTGGAAGACAGACATTTCTGCCAAATTCAGTTTTGAGATTTTTTTTTTTTGAAATGTGTCACTCCCACCACAAAGTATGTGCATTTTGAGGAATGTAACTGTTTTATAATTATGTTGTTACAGGAAGTATTTCGAGATTTCAGTATCCCTGCCTGATAGTCTAGGTATTTTTTTTATATATATAAATAATTTCTGTAGGTGAATTTGGGAGATAATTTTAAAAGCTAGGGTAGGGATACTTGACACTGGTTGAATACGGATAATTATTATTTATTCTTTTGTATATTGAACTCTCTCTCTCTCTCTGTCTGTAACCACCCATTGGGGCAATGATAGGTATAAAATCCTACGCACTTTGTGCTGTACCATTTATTATGCCTTAGGACAGATCAAGGATTTTTTTCAGGCGGGATGTCGAAACTTCATGAATTGAATAATAATTTTACTTTGGACAGGAAATTAACCCAAACGCCCAAATTGAAAGAGAAATTAGACGTACATGTATTATGAGCAATGAACTCACTAAATGATACCCCCTGCCTCCCATATGGTTATAATGGCAAAGTCCATATTTCGCTAAACCCATACGTGTCAGATCAAAAAGTGAAATATGAGGTGCATAATGGTAATCTGTAATAAACTTAAGATTCTTTGAAAGTTTCATTAAATTTCTCTAAGTGATGTAACAGGATTTGCGGATAAGAGATGGTTACCCCAAAGCGTAACAGACAGACGAACGGACATAACGATTACCTCCCACTTTTCAGGCGGGGGATATAATAAACGTGAAATATAAATCACAGGAATGGGAACATTGGGAACTTTCTCGAATACCTTCTCAAACGTATACATGTGTCGAACTTGGACAACAGACAAGAAAATTTTTAAAAGGCTAGTTTTAGGTAGAATGTGGAATTCTCACGAGGAGTTTACTCTCTTCCTATATGCTTTTTCTAATAATCATTACTTATTTATGTCTAGAAATTTAATTTACATTAAATTCTTTTTTCATTATCATTGTACCAAAGAATCAAACTCGTTTATTATACCCCACGCGTGAGGTATTATGTTTTTGACCAATCAGTCAGTCTTTTTTTTTTTTTTTTTTTTTTGGTCAGCGCAACTTTTCATAAACCACTGTACAGAGTTTTGTCGAACTTTGCAGATATTTATAGGAGAAAATGTGTGTGTAGATTTGCACATCATCAGGAAATTCCGAATTCTCTATTTTTCTGGAATTTCCGCACTTTTACATTTAGATTTTGGCCATATCTTGAATATAGAGGTGAGCAGTTTGTCAGCGCAACTCCTCATAAACCGCTGCACACAATTTCATCAATCTTTGCAGATATTTAGGACACAATGTGTATAGATGTGCATATTACAAGGAAATTACGATTCCTTTATTTTTTTCTGGGAATTTCAGCACTACTTCGACTTTTGGGGGAGCGTGGGGTATGTGAACGTGCTCACTTTTTCTTTCATAGTGCAAAATTAAATAACTTTAAATCAAATTATATTAGGTCTAATAAAGCCAATACACAATATTTATTTGATAATAATTGATCATAAAGAAATCCAATCTGTTTCAGACGTTTTTCTTACATTATTTTTATGAGAGTGTTATGCATGTTTTATTACCCCCCCCCCCCATTTCACGGGAAAATATCTTCAAAAGGTGAATGATTCGTAATAATGCCTGCTTTTTTTAATGAATTTGATGAAGTTAAACCATGTACTTAATCGTAAATTTTATTTACAACATGTACAGACAAGAGTAATGTTTATTTTTGAAAAATTACTTGCATTTTTTTTTCAATAAACCCCACTGAGCTTTCAACCTTTGATATTTTCCCTGACCAAATAAAATGATCGGCATGGGCCACGTGTCCAAGCATCTTTTACTGTTGAGTTAGCAATGGATTACATGACTTCTGAGATGCATTTTTCAATAAAAGTAAAATAGGATAATTCTTTCGACATGTGCACATCCCTGTAACGATAGCAGTAGTCAGGTAAATGTTTTTATCACTGCGTTTGACGCGTTTTCTCGACCTGCATGGGTGTTTGATGTACATGTATTTATTCCGTGTTAGTTTATTTTCTATATTGCAGCAAATGCATTCAAAAATAATTTAATTCTCTGTATAGTTCTATTTTTTTGTTGAATTTTTACTTTTCAAACATGTATTTGGTCAGTTTATGGACTTCTAAAAACTTTGTTATCGGAGATGTGTACATGTCGACAGTCAGGCTAGAAAATCACTCAAGTGAAGCAATCGTACAAGGCTATATATAGCAGGTACAGGTGACCGAAAATTTTCAATTAAATATGGCGGAATCGAAGAAATATGGCGGACAAAGGCGTACAGGAATGTAGTAAGTCGTACAAAGATGAAAAATGATGGCTTTTTAAGAGTTCATGTCAGCTTTAACCAAACTAAAGATCTTGATTTTGCTAAAAGTTAAATTACTTTAATTAGGTCAATATCAATTATTGCCGCTTGTGCAACAAATAATGTTTTACTTCTGATTAAGATTAAATAGATGATGGTCTAATTGATTTTCCCTATGCCTTGAGTGATGTTAATTGCACATCCCTGCTGGATAACAGTAGGTTAGCTTAGCAGCACTTGTCATCCAAAAACTATTACCTGGATCAGTATTTTCTTGAATTTGAAGCAAGGATGCATGCTGTAGAGTTGAACATCCTGCACCAGTTCTAGTTATGGTTCCTGAAATAGAAAAAAAATTAAAAACTTCAAATTCAACTCCATTTATCAGAAAATTGAAAATATGAATACTCAAAATTTAACTTAATTCATTAAAAAATAGAAAAAATTAAAAACTTGAAATTCAACTCCATTTATTATATACAACAGGTCCAAGGGCCACATCGCTCACCTGAGTAATTTTGATGATGCAGTTCTTTACCAGATTTTCCCTCTTGTCATATCTATTGTGGCCTCTTGCCCCGTCCCTTGTCATGATTTTAATATTTCAGAATCTACACTATCCCATGATGCTTCTACAAAAGTGTCAGCTTTTCTGGCCCAGTAGTTCTTGAGAAGAAATTTTTAAAAGATTTTTCCAATATATTTCTATGTAAAGCTTGGATTCCCTTTTGTGGCCCCGGCCAACCCCTGCGGTCATGATTTGAACAAACTTGAATCTACACTACCTAAGGATGCTTCCACATTAATATGCTGAATCATGCCTTTGCTATTCTTGAGAAGAAGATTTTTAAAGAATTTTCCTGTATATTTCTTTGTAAAACTTTGATCAGCTATTGTGGCCCCACCCTACCTCTAGGGGTCATGATCTGAACAAATTTGAATCTATACTACCTGAGGATAAAAAATTCTTTTGATAACTGCATCAATAGAATCTAGAGTTCGCTTGCACTAAGCAGTCGGGACTACTTTGGCAGTCTTTACATGATTGTATATTCCCGCTTCCAGGTAACTTTTTGAAGGAATAATTAAATAGTTTTACTTTAATAAATATTTTCCTGAATTTCAAAACCTGTCTGTTGCGTTCCTGACTTATTTTCTACTTTCGTTTCTTTTTTAATTATCCCCCTTTGCTAAACAAATGAATCGTCTGCATAACAACAATACAGTTTTGGGAAAGAAGGAAAGGAATTGGCATACATTTGTTAAATGTTTGACTTTGAGATATCTGTTATGAACAATAGAACTCTGAAGAAATGATATTTTTATGCTACCAACGCATGTAAAACTTAAAAATCTGTTAAACCTTGGGAAACGATTGGTTGAGAAAAACGACACTGTAAGTGAGGATGGAATTCTTTTAATCTTAAATAGTCGGTAGCAGACTCTTTCAGTTTTTACAGCATTGACAGGTTGTAAAACGTATTTATATGTTCAGTTTGAAATTCAGATGAAAAAATGCGCAAATGAAATCCAAAATTTCTGTGACATAGAACTGTTAGAATATTTGAGTAGCTCCCCTTTACACTTACGAACTAAGATAACTTACCGGGGAAATATACCCACTGGGATAACAGAACAGGTACGGGTTTTTTTGTGTTAAAGAAATAAATTATCTCAGAGAACGTTAGTAATGACACAACAATATTTGAGAACTTTTTTTTCGTTAGAGCCATTTTGAATATCAGCAACGTTAACGTTGTTGTGATGTATTTGTGTGCACTGTTTTTGATGCATAAAATTAATAGAAAGGTAAAAGAAAGTTACATTTTATAAATTTAAAACCATAATGATAAGAAATGATTTTAATATTTTTTTCTTTGATCGATGTATCAAAGAAAAAATTTGGATGGAAAACTTTTTCATCGATGCGCTACGCACACTGATGAAGTTTTCCGTCCAATTTTTTTCTTTGATACATCGATCAAAGAAAAAATATTACATTCATTTTATAAGTAAAAGAAACATATGATGTCACTTTATCACTGCAAATTAATTTCATTATTGGCATGCAGTAAAATAAATGTAAATGTTCAAATACAGAGCATTCTGTAATAGGTCATCAAATGGGAATCAGATTTCTAACGTGTTACATACCGACACTGTTTGCCCTAAGCTGCTGGTGGCTCTCAGTAATTGCACTGGAGACAGGCACAATCAAACTGACAATCAGTAACAGCCTACAGTCCATGGCATCACCTCCAGACCTCAAATCTAGACAACAGAAATTCAGAATTAAAATGCATCTTCAAACAGTTTTATGACATGGTTTTGTAATGATCACTAGAGGTAACTAGAATCTCTGCTACCTATGGCATAAAAAATTTTACAATATTCCATCTTTTCCATTTGTGTTGTATAATTTTCCATCTATATTGTATAATTTTCCAATTGCATTGAAAAATTTTGCATTTGTTTTCTATAATTTTTAATTTGTGTTGTAAAATTTCTCTTTGAGTTGTAAAATTTTCTTTGTGTTCTAAATTTTTCGTTTGTATTGTCAAGTTTTCATTTGTATTATGATTTTTTATTTGTATTGTATCATTGTTATTTGTACTCTATAATTTTCCATTTGTATTGAATACTTTTCCATTTGTATGGTATATATGATTAATCATAGATTTTTTCTGAGCTGCAAAACTGTAGCTCTCTGCTTGAGAAAATTTGGACAGATAAAAAGACTTTTCCTATGTATTCCCATATAAAACTTTGATCAGCCATTGTGTAACCACTCTACCACAGGGGTAATAATTTGAACAAACTTGAACCTACAGTACCTGCATGCTTCCATCTAAATATGACCAATCATGGTTTTGATGTTCTTGGGAAGAAGATTTTTCTTAATTCATATGTATTCCTATGTAAAACTTTGATCAACCATTGTTGCCCCGCCCTTAATGGAAGCACTTAATGGAATTTGATCTCATGACCAACCCATATCTGTATCCCGATAGATGTTTAAAAATGATACCTTATTTCTTATATTTATATAATATGACATCCAAGGAATTTGTATTGATACGGTTATACATGTTGCTTTCAGTAGTGTTGTATAAAGGGAAACATCTGCAAATGTAAATATTAAGATATACACATCGTTAGATTGTTTGAATTGAAGTACAGCAAGAATATTATATGACTTTACTTTTCAGTACATATTTTTAGTTCATCAGCATATCTTAATTTTAACCTCTCACAAGTTACTTTCTAATAACCTTTACTGCCAATAAATCATCTTGTTTTGAGTAGTAGATTTAATTTAATTACCGGTATTTGATTTGTCCAAATTTTAATTTTTAAAATTCTTTTCTTTTAGCATAAATCTTTAGGTATCATCAGATTCAAAATCAGTGTCAAAGAGAAATGTATAACGAAGTCATACATTTTTGCTGTGCAGCTATGGACAAAACCAAAGGTTGTGATCATTTTAATAATACTGCGCATATCAAAATGAAGTTTTATTTAGGACAAATGCCAAAATAGATCAAACATACTTTTGTTGAAATCTATATTTTTAAAGATTTCATGCCATTGTGACATTACTTTCAGTTCCAGCCTCGCACATTGATAAAGCCGTAAACTACGACTGTTGTACATTTCCATCAATATTACTCTAACAACTGTCAAGATTAAAACAATAGATTATTAAGTGTGGAGTTACTGTAGTAACTAAACATAATATATATTCTTACCCTATTTAATAACAGGTCACATTAATCCCTAAAAGGTAGACTAGTGTTTTAGTTGATTCCTGTGTACTGTGGTCTGTTGATAATACCCTCCTCTAGATAGTGTTATCTCAGTCCTACTGATAACATACCACACTCCCAGCTTCCTGGTATTGACCTTAACGATTTACAGAAATTCACATCACAACAATTTCTTATCAAGCATGATTACTGAAGGTGCAACAAAATTGTACAATGCATGTGCTTTACTTTCTAAAATGTGTAACATAAACTTCTGATATTTCATTTGTGCAAGTTCTTAAACTTTCCTTTATTATGGTGCGATTACATGTACCGTACTACAACTTTTGCAGCTCGACTTTTTTCTGATTTCGTCTCCAATTTTTAATCATTTCATTTACATAGCTAGAATCTTTCTTACTCTTAAAACTTTCAAAATCAGTTTCAAAAGTACTTTGAGCTTCTCAGGTTAAGGCCAATTTAGTCCCACTTTGAACCAACTCATTTGGCCTACAGTATATTAGGGCTTTGTATGCCCTGATTTTCAAGATGTCGCCTGGAAGAGATTGTTACACATGCAGAATGTTTGAATTTCTTACCTTGACCTTAAAATCCTTTGATCTTAAAATCAACTGGGGTCTTTATAGGTCTTGGGGAGTTTTGGTATAATAATTTCCTTACAGGTGGATGAAGCCTTCAAGAGATATTACATGCAAACAAGTGTTACACACAGACAGAATGACAAACAGATGAGTGGACAGACAGACCAAAATTAATAAATTTCCCCTACTACTAAAGAAAGCAGGGAGGAAACAATTTCACTTGCTCATTGTGACCATGCACTGTCTTTGTCAGCTAAGTATACAGAGAAATTATACTGGTTCACTATATATGATACTCAAGCACCAATAAAATCATTGCTTGTTTTGATCATACCGAAAGTTTGACTGCAGAATTTTGAAAATTAAAATTACTTTGATGGGTCTTTTTTCATACACCCCCTGGCATAATATGAATCTAAAAAACCTGTCCTCTTTAATTCTATGTTGCTGTTTACCCAAATTTAATCCTTCAAATTGGTTCAGCCATCCCAATCCGTTTACCGTATATACTCGCCTATAAGTCGGTTTTATTTAATAATCTTGCATATCAGATGGACTAACCTCATATAAAACCATAATTTTAATAGCTCGCCTATAAGTCGGACAAAGAGTTTTAGACCAGAGATTAACTCCCCAAAAACCGACTTATAGGCGAGTATATACGGTATGTAATTGTTACATAATAAAATATATTCAAATCAAATCAAATATTTAAAATCACTCTATTTTTCATTCGTAAAATACTCGTATGTTTTACAACAATGATCATTTGAAGTTTATTGTTCAGGTTTCACCTAGTTTTATCCCTCATTATTATATTACTGAGTTAAGGTAAATCAGAGTCAAATGACCTACCTGGTACATATACTTGCAAGTGAAATAAAATTTTAACTGTACAAAAAAGTCATTTTTCATTAGAAATTTTATTGTGATATTAAGAAATTTTGCAAAATAGTTTAAAACAAAGCTTGAAAAAAAGTGCTCAAAACAATAATAATTCTCAACTAGAAACTCTTGTTGCTACAGCAACAAAGAAGGTCTTCCGTTCTCCTCTATTTATCTACATGAATGAGCTTTAATCTATGTTAAAAAGGCATATAATATTTTTTATGATTTCAGGAAAAAAAAAAACAGCCGGAGGAGTAACTTACCAAGATTCTTTACTTTAGACAATTATAGTCTTAATAACATGTACAAAAATCATTTTCAATTTTTTATCACTTCCTGTGTTACCCTATATTTTTTGCCCAATCTTCATGTTGTTTTATTCATATAAGTTTAGTGTCTTGATCTGTTACAGTTTAAGAGATCTCATAATATTATCTTTTCATTTTGAGGACAAAAAAATCACTTGACCGGAAGTAAATTTTTGAAAAGATATTTGAGGTTACTCTAGATATTTCAGTCTAAATAACATGTCCTAAAATCATTTCTAATGCTCTTCTTATCAAAAATATTTATGGGATAGTATAATACTAAATTTATGCAGTTTTTCTTTCATAAGCGGAAGTTGTCCATTTTGTTTCCAGTGGGACTGACATATTTCAAAACTACAAAAAAGATGCTATAATGTATAACTAAGAAAGATTCCATAAGAAAAGTTTTTATTCATTTGTTCACTTCCTGTGACAACCGGAAGTGACGGTGGACAATCTTTTCCTGACTAATTTTGCCTACACATCAAGATCTACCACTTGTAAAAGTTTGGTGTCTTAATCTCTTACCCTATACGAGATCTAGTTATGATAACTTCTCATTTTGAGTACAGGAAATCACGCAACCGGAAGTGAATTTTACAAAGATGTTTGGCGTTGCTGTAGACAGTTACAGTCTTAATAACATATCCAAAAATCATTACAAATACTGCATCTATAAAAAATATTTACTGGAAAGAAAAATACTCAAATTATAAAGCTTTTCTCTTATAACCGGAAGTTGTATTCTTTGTTTTCGGTATTACTGACTCATTTCAAAACTACAAATAAGATGCTATTATGTGATAAAAAAAATTTCCATATTAAGGAAAAGTTCAATTTTTGGACTTCTTTGATCACTTCCTGTGACGACCGGAAGTGACGACAGACGATCTTATCCCCCATGGAAATGCTAACTCATCAGGATATACCACTTGTCAAAGTTTGGTGTCTTTATCTCTTACTGTTTAAGAGATCTAGCTATAATAATTTCTCATTTTGAGGACGGGAAATCACACGCAATCGGAAGTGAATTTTAAAAAAAATAGTTGATGTTACTGTAGACATTTGCAGTCTGAATAACGTATCCAAAAACAGTTGCAAACACTTTATCTATAAAAAAAATATATATATTGGAAAGAAAATATTCAAATTATATAGTTTTTCTCTTATAACCGGAAGTTGTCGTTTTTGTTTTCGGTGGAGCTGATATATTTTGAAACTACAAATAACGCGCTATAATGTGATGCAATAAACGTTCAATAAAAGAAAAGATGAAATTTCCTATTTTTTGACCACTTCCTGTTATGACCGGAAGTAACGGCGGACAATCTTAACCCATATGTTTTTCCCTTTTCGTCAAGATATACCACTCCTATAAGTTTGGTGTCTACATCTCTTACCGTTTCAGAGAAATAGCTATAAGAACTATTCATTTTGAGGACAGGAAATCACGCGACCGGAAGTGAATTTTCCAAAGATATTTGACATTACTGTAGTCATTTGCAGTCTGAATAACATATCTAAAAATCATTTCAAAAACTTTATCTATAAAAAATATTTATGGGAAAGAAAAATACTGAAAATATGCAGTTTTTCTCTTATAACCGGAAGTTGTCGTTTTTGTTTCCGGTTGGACTGATATATTTCAAAACTACGAGTAAGATGCAATAATCTGATGCTAAAAAACTTTCAAAAAAGAAAAGTTGAAATTTTCGATATTTAAGAACACTTCCTGTGACGACCGGAAGTGACGGTGGACGATCTTAACTTAATTGGATTTGCCTACTTATCAAGATCTATCATCCCTGTAAGTTTGGTGCCTTAATCTCTTACCATTTCTGAGATCTCACTCGGATTAAATATTTTTGAAAAAAGCGGAAATCGGACATATCTGACGACCGGAAGTGAATTTTGAAAAAATGAAAAAAACGTCTCGGGGTATTTTCATTCTCTATCATCTCTGAAAATTTCAGGAAAATCCGTCCAGCCATCTCTGAGAAATCCTGCCGACAAGATTTGGGGAAAAAAATAATAATAAGAATAATAATAAGAAAAAACAGTAGAATCACTATAAGGTCTTCCGTCTGAAACGGAAGACCTTAATGACTAGAAATTGTTAACAACACAAAAGAACTATTCCATTTTATTACAAACAAATATGTAAACCAAAACAGATAAAAATGGACTTAACAATATAATGTTAAATAATTCTATTAAAATATAATTTTCCTATATAAATACAAAATTATAGAGAGGCAGTGGATTAAAAGAATTAAAAAATTGACAAGATAAAAATGTTTAACTAGAACAGTTCAAATGAGGGCCTCACGGAGATTCCTATTCCACTTAGAACAGACCAATATCTTATCACAGATGATGCAATAAATAATAAATCATTAAATGACGAAGCAGAAAATGGTAAAATAAAATACACATCTATTAGTGACATTTTATCAATTATTTTCATATAATGTGAACCAACTTTTCTTCAAATGCAAGAAATATCTGAAAGTTTTGCAACTTTCTTTCTCAAAAAATTCAAAGCAATAAATCATTAAATATTTTTAAGTGTAAATATATCTATGCATCATACTTCCTCATATGCATAAACTAAAAATAGAGACATTTCAATTTTAAACTGAGCATGGGCCACATCGCTCAGCTAAGTATCTTTGGCCATGTTGTTCTTCGCCAAATTTCCCCTTGTAAAACCTATTGTGACCCACCCTACCTCCTGGGGTGATGATTCAGATGATATGAAATCTACACTACCCCAAGACGCTTCCATATAAGTTTTAGCTTTTCTAACTCAGTGGTTCCTGAGAAGATTTTTAAAGATTTTTCTAACTTATTTCATTGTAAAACTTGGATTCACTGTTGTGGCCCTGCCCTAACCCTGAGGGTCAAAATTTGACCAATATAAAATCTATACTACCCCAGGATGCTTCCACATAAGTTTCAGCTTTTCTGGACCAGTGGTTCTTCAGAAAATTATGACTCCACCCTTTTCTTGATTATCTCCCTTGTATTCAGAAAATCAGAGTCAGGAAAGCTGACTTGAGCTTTCAGCTCTGGTGAGCTAACAATTGAAATATATGCTTCCAAAAAGTTGGTTTACAGCATTTACTTTCAAATGACGCACAATAAATATTAACAAGAATAGTAACCAAGTCATATAGGACCCCACAGAAGCCTTATATCTGATTCAATAATCTTGACCTTTCAAAAATTTGCCTTGATATATATTTTTCTCATTTTAACATATAGTAAATAAGTCTGCATGTTGAAAGAAATTTTGTATAATGACTATTTCATGGCACATAAAAATGCAAACATTTTTTTTTCTTTTTGAGCAATTGCATCTCTTAAATGTAAAAGCCATATCAATAGTTGTGTCACAGATTTGTAATATTTAAATTTTTTTGAGATTGATCACCATTTGTTTTTCTACATTTTTTACATTGTCATGAGCAATAGGGGAATACATTGTCTAATTAAGAAGGAAAATACAAATATGGCTGATTAGCAATATCTGCTTGCATTTTGCAATAAACAAATTCTGATCAAATATTTTGTAAGGATTTCTATGGAAAAACTTTCACTACATTTTGGTAAGCATATTTTCAGCCTAGAGGTTTTGCTCAAAACCCTGAAGGAATGTCCAATGGAATTTGTTTATTAACATTAAGCTGACTGGAAATAGAAATTTATAGCTCGACTGACATCATAATCAGCAGCTAATGCGAACTGAATGAGGTCATCCTCTGGTACGTCATCTCCAATCACAGCACGGAGGGCGGAGATACACTCAGCTAGCCGGGCGTGATCCGTGCCTACTCCACCGTACTCGTCAAAACAGGAGGAAGACGACGAAGAGGATGAATACCTCTATAAAGTAAAGACAAACTTACATGTATTACACTCACAGGCTTCCATAGATAGTCATCCTGACAGTATGGTCAATAACTTTTCAGAAGAAATCAAGTTGTGTCCATCTTCAGACTGATCATAACAATAATTTGAACTCACAATTCTAATGAAAACTAATTTTCAAACCCTTTGTTGAAATACGTAATTATAAAGTATTTTGACAAATGTAGTTGTATTACCGATTTATGATTTTTGGATCAAATACCTAGAATGTCTTAAAATTATTCTGTTCTTCTTTAAGTGCATTCCACGCAAAGTTCATGCCATGCTTAAAATTCTTTGTAATTTTCCAATATCTTATGTAAGCAAACACTTTAAACAAGAAACAGTAAAATTATAACTCTCTCAAAAAAACAAAAATAAACAAGAACAATTTCTTTCCCACCACCTTCATGATGAAGGGCCTGTACAAACAGGTATTGGGTAAAGAGCCTCTGTCTGGCTCACTTCAGACACCTGACCTGAGTCACCTGTTGTACAGACCCTGGGGTATAAGTAAGACTTACCCTGCTGCTGACCACCTGTCACCTGTCCTGAGTCACCTGTTGTACAGACCCTGGGGTATAAGTAAGACTTACCCTGCTGCTAACCACCTGACCTGAGTCACCTGTTGTACAGACCCTGGGGTATAAGTAAGACTTACATGTACCCTACTGCTCGCCACCTGCACCTGACCAATTATCTCCCCATCCTCCTGACTAGATAAGCTGCTGGAGTCAACTCTACCACTCCCCACAACATCACTGAAAAATAATACATTATCTCTTATCTAAATCTGGAAATTTTACATGGAATTATTTTTTTTTCTTAATTTGGGTGAGTTAAATTGTTATGTTAATTTTTAAGGGCTTCTAAATTTTGCAAATTTCCATCATTGCTAAAAATAAAGAAATAAGGAAATAAAAATTCCAAGAAATTTTATCGATAATGCATATATATATACATGTACAATATATCCCAAAAAAATTTTCTATTAGTTGACGTAAAAATCAGTCCATAGTTTTTCCTTTCCCTTTGCATTTATTCAGAAAACTTATTTTAATTTAAGTCAGCCTGCTTTTGTAACTAGAATTTTATGTCTCTTCAATCCACACATAGTTAAGTTGACAAGATAAACAAAAGCAGCCTTTAGCATTTATGCAAATTATCCCCAAACATACTGATTGATCACATTATAAAACTAAAACACTAGACAGTACACACAAAGAAATTAAATAAATACCCTTCCTCCTTTATAACGTCCTCTATTTCTGTACGGAGGTGTGGGGGCAGTTGGCTAAAGACTTCACCATTCTTCATATCTGGATGGTTTCCAAGGTAACTCAAAACATTGTCCTAAAAAGGAACAAATGATCATCACAATATCATTACTTCCTTACATGAAGTGTAGTTATTTATTACCATCTGGCTTCAAACTAAACCACTTAGAATGTTCTGATATACAAAAGACATGCAAATTTCACATTTCAGAGATATTCATAAAACTTCTTTCTTGACTGGAACTAGTCAGAATACTACGGAGGCACTTAAATTGTACCCTGAGAATTTTTTTCTGGAACTAGTCAGCAATACTAAGGAGGCCCTAACCTTGAGCACTTTTTTCTGAAACTAGTCAGCAATACTAAGGAAGTCCTTACCTTGAGTACTTTTTTCTGAAACTGGTCAGCAATACTGAGAAGGTACAAAGCCGTGTCACCATCTACATGGTGTAGTAAGATCTGCTCACACACCTGACCAAGGTTGTTCACCTGTAATATCAACAGCTGATTAAAGTAACATAATTATAAAATACCGGGAATATTTGCATGGTGAGATATAATATAGGATCTCCCATGATTAGTATTTGGATATGATTTTTATCCAACGAGTTGTGTTTTTTTTTTTATCTCCGAGCCTTGGCGAGCCAGTGCAAGTTTATTGTAAAATTCTTTGTAAACTGTATGAAAAAAAATTCAGGAAAAAAAACACTTAACAAATTTTAAAATGTAAATCTGTTATCTTTTTTTGGAATTCAAGCATTTCTCTACATTTATTTTCTGAATAAGCTCAATAAATTCAGCTTTTTAATAATATATCGATGGATAGATATACTTCTTCCTTGTTCATGCAATAACTCAATTCAAGCTTTCAAAAAAATCACCTCATATCTATCTGCCAAGGTAAGTAACTCTGTAAGTTGATCGGTGGACAAAGACTCAGACTGAATAGCACCACTGTACAAAAACTCAATAAACATGCTGAAGATCTCGGGGTTTGTATCATGTATGGTTATTTTTCTGCAACAATTGTTCATTAAGAAATTAAAAAAGAAAAGAATTGCTTTCATTAAACAAAGAAGAATTTTTTTTAGTTCTCAATTTAAAATCTGATAAAGAAATAGCCATATTTATTTTTCATTAAATTTTTTTTTTCTCCAATAAAAATCACTTCATGCCAGTATTTATTTTCTGCCATAAATAAGAGAGCCAATATCTTATATTTAAAATATCTGTGGATTTTTTCCTTCATAGCCTCCCTCATCCCACTGAGTAAAGCCCTTGAGAATCCCTTACACCAGGCTTATGTTTCTCTCACTTGTCTATGGACTCCCTCATCCCACTGAGTAGAGCCCTTGAGAATCCCTTACACCACGCTTAAGTTTCTCTTACTTGTCTATGGACTCGTTTATCCCCCTGAGTAGAGCCCTTGAGAATCCCTTACACCAGGCTTATGTTTTTCTTACTTGTCTATAGACTCCCTTATCCCACTGAGTAAAGCCCTTGAGAATCCCTTACACCAGGCTTATGTTTCTCTTACTTGTCTATGGACTCCCTCATCCCACTCAGTAAAGCCCTTGAGAATCCCTTACACCAGGCTTATGTTTCTCTTACTTGTCTATGGACTCCCTCATCCCACTGAGTAGAGCCCTTGAGAATCCCTTACACCAGGCTTATGATTCTCTTACTTGTCTATGGACTCCCTTATCCCACTGAGTAAAGCCCTTGAGAATCCCTTACACCAGGCTTAAGTTTCTCTTACTTGTCTATGGACTCCTTCATCCCCCTGAGTAGAGCCCTTGAGAATCCCTTACACCAGGCTTATGTTTCTCTTACTTGTCTATGGACTCCCTCATCCCACTGAGTAAAGCCCTTGAGAATCCCTTACACCAGGCTTATGTTTCTCTTACTTGTCTATGGACTCCCTCATCCCACTCAGTAAAGCCCTTGAGAATCCCTTACACCAGGCTTATGTTTCTCTTACTTGTCTATGGACTCCCTCATCCCACTCAGTAAAGCCCTTGAGAATCCCTTACATCAGGCTTATGTTTCTCTTACTTGTCTATTGACTCCCTCATCCCACCGAGTAAAGCCCTTGAGAATCCCTTACACCAGGCTTATGTTTCTCTTACTTGTCTATGGATTCCCTCATCCCACTCAGTAAAGCCCTTGAGAATCCCTTACACAAGGCTTATGTTTCTCTTACTTGTCTATGGACTCCCTCATCCCACTCAGTAAAGCCCTTGAGAATCCCTTACACCAGGCTTATGTTTCTCTTACTTGTCTATGGACTCCCTCATCCCACTCAGTAAAGCCCTTGAGAATCCCTTACACCAGGCTTATGTTTCTCTTACTTGTCTATGGACTCCTTCATCACACTGAGTAAAGCCATGAGAATCCCTTACACCAGGCTTGTTTTCTTACTTGTCTATGGACTCCCTCATCCCACTCAGTAAAGCCCTTGAGAATCCCTTACACCAGACTTATGTTTCTCTTACTTGTCTATGGACTCCCTCATCCCACTCAGTAAAACCCTTGAGAATCCTTTACACCAGACTTATGTTTCTCTTACTTGTCTATGGACTCCCTCATCCCGCTGAGTAAGGCCCGTGAGAACCAGTTACAGCGGGCTGCCAGGATGACACAGTGGGCAGGAATCTGGTGAATTTCTACATCATGGTCATCCTCCTGTCTCTCAATAGGATCTCCATGAGTGTGGTCAATCACAATGTCTCCCATATCTAAAAGGCATCAATCATAATAATCACAATTCCTTATTTTACATAAATATTTTAATCCTTGAAATAGAATTTTTAAATTGGAGCCCCCTAAAACTTACAAAGGGGCTTTCCTAATAAATAAAGATACATGTATGGAAACAACTTCCATTTTAAGAAGCTGCAATGTTTGATTATAAGTTATGTTAATGATTAGAAATCTTTGTAACAAGTCTGAAAGTAATATGCCAAAATGTGAGGTCAACTTTTAACTGACCTCGAACAAGAATGATTTCAAAGACCATGTCCGTATTCTGTTTCTTCCTGAATAACTCCAGCGCATTCTGAGCTAGCATACATTTTTTGGATGGAGGAGGAATGCACAAAGATTCTACAGAACTTAACTGAAGTAGATAAAAGTATTTATTAAGATGCAATCATTCATAATAAGAAAACATCTAATTTCTATGTTTAAATTTTCAACAATAAATTTTCTAATTCATTAAAACATTAAAACTTCACTTGAAACTTTTTCTTGATATATGGATTTATAAAAAGCATTGTAAATGAAGCCTGTGTAACTGTTTTAAACATTAGATCTTACCATGACATACTTGGTGTCTACTATGGATGTAGTCTCTTACCCTGACATACTTGGTGTCTACTGTGGATGTAGTTACTTACCCTGACATACTTGGTGTCTATTGTGGATGTAGTCACTTACCCTGACATACTTGTTGTCTACTGTGGACATAGTCACTTACCCTGGCACACTTGGTGTCTACTGTGGATGTAGTCATTCGACATACTTGGTGTCTACAGTGGTTGTAGTCACTTACCCTGGCATACTTGGTGTCTACTGTGTATGTAGTCATCCTGACATACATGGTGTCTACTGTGGATGTAGTCACTTATCCTGGCATACTTGGTGTCTACACATACTTGGTGTCTATTGTGGATGTAGTCACTTACCCTGGCATACTTGGTGTCTACACATACTTGGCGTCTACTGTGGATGTAGTCACTTACCCTGGCATACTTGGTGTCTACTGTGGATGTAGTCACTTATCCTGACATACTTGGTGTCTACTGTGGATGTAGTCACTTACCCTGAGATACTTGGTGTCTACTGTGGATGTAGTCACTTGGTGTCTACTGTAGATGTAGTCACTTACCCTGACATACTTGGTGTCTATTGTGGATGTAGTCATTTACCTTGGCATACTTGGTGTCTACTGTGGATGTAGTCACTTACCCTGCCATACTTGGTGTCTACTGTGGATGTAGTCACTTGGTGTCTACTGTAGATATAGTCACTTACCCTGACATACTTGGTGTCTATTGTGGATGTAGTCACTTACCCTGGCATACTTGGTGACTACTGTGGATGTAGTCACTTACCCAGACATACTTGGTGTCTACTGTGGATGTAATCACCACTTACCCTGGCATACTTGGTGTCTACACATACTTGGTGTCTATTGTGGATGTAGTCACTTACCCTGGCATACTTGGTGTCTACTGTGGATGTGGTCATATCTCCCTTGTCCCATAACCCCAGAGCTGCCACTGTGGCTGTGAATTCTTCTTTGTTGACCAGTTTTACCATCTGTTCTATACTACTGGAAAGTGTTGACTTGTAGCTGCGTAGCTTGTGTACACCCCATGCCTGCATAATGAATTTATCAGGTTTTCTCAATTTTCTTCTTCTAGTGCTACATGAGTTATGATTTCAGTTAAGATCCAAAGTTTGGCTTTGTAACCCCTAACATTTAGTATATGTACAATATAAGGAAATAAAAATACCTGTAATTTTTTCTACCATAAATAACTTACTATTTTAGAGGAACTCAGTTTAAACATATACTTCCATTCTTTCCATTTGTATTTTTCCTCTAAAACTAGAGCTAAGTGCTGCATGCGGTCAACAAACAGAGGAGCCTACAATATAAAGCATCAAGGTACATGAATAAATGCACTGAAATCTATCAAGCTCAGTACAGAAGTAAAACTTAACCTTATGCCCATGGGTCACAGTGCTAACCTGAGTCAGCAATTCTTTAAATGTATAAGAAAGTAAAAGTAACATCTTGTCATCTCTAACAAAATCCATGAAGTTAATAATATTAATTTTAAGTATATTTTAGACTCTTGATATTTTAATATTCCTTTGAATTTAACTGGAATTCACAGATTTCGCTATTAAAAAATTAAGATAAATATTCATATCTTTTAAAAATTCCTATTAAGAGAAAATTGAATTGTTTTTTTTTTCAAAGAAAATGACAAAAGTGTGTTTTTCAAGTGCAGTGACACTATCAATGTACTGATATATGTGTAGCCTGTTTAAGTATCACTACTAAGTCAAAAACGTACTGACATTCCCATTTTTTACTGACAAACTTAGAAAATTACTGACAATGTGCTGTCGTTACTGTAAAACTTAGACAATTACTGACCTTTTTACTGCCGGTGTAGCATAATATTTTGATACCGCGATATATTGAACCCGGGTTCAATATATCGCATAATATTTTGAACCCGGGTTCACTTTTTCGCTGCGATATATTGAACCCCCCTATAAAATATTGAACCCCCACCTTTTTCATTCAAAAGGGAAGGGGTTCAAAATATTATGGCCATAAAATATTGACTCCCCCTGCCCTTTAGATTTTAGAGGGAGGGGGTTCAAAATATTATGGCCATAAAATATTGAGTCCCCCTGCCCTTTCAATTTAAGAGGGAGGGGGGTTCAAAATATTATGACCATAAAATATTGAGTCCCCCTGCCCCTTAAATTTTAGATAGAGGGGGGGTTCAAAATATTATGGCCATAAAATATTGAGTCCCCTTCCCTTTCAGTTTATGAGGGAGGGGGTTCAAAATATTATGGCCATAAAATATTGAGTCCCCCTTCCATTTTAATTTTAGAGGGATTAAGAAAGAGGGGGTTCAAAATATTATGGCCATAAAATATTGAGTCCCCCTGCCCTTTTAATTTTATAACGAGGGGGGTTCAAAATATTATGGCCATAAAATATTGACTCCCCTTATCTTCTTATATAAAATATCGACTCCCCCTGCCCTTTTAATTTACGAAGGAGGGGGGTTCAAAATATTATGGTCATAAAATATCGACTCCCCCTGTCCTTTAAATTTAAGATAGAGGGGGGTTCAAAATATTATGACCATAAAATATTGAGTCCCCCTGCCCTTTCAATTTAAGAGGCAGGGGGGTTCAAAATATTATGGCCATAACATATTGAGTCCCCCTGCCCTTTTAATTTATGAAGGAAGGGGGTTCAAAATATTATGGCCATAAAATATCGACTCCCCCTGCCCTTTTAATTTATGAAGGAGGGGGGTTCAAAATATTATGACCATAAAATATTGAGTCCCCCTGCCCCTTAAATTTTTGACAGAGGGGGGTTCAAAATATTATGGCCATAAAATATTGAGTCCCCCTGCCCTTTCAATTTAAGAGGGAGGGGGTTCAAAATATTATGGCCATAAAATATTGAGTCCCCTTCCCTTTTAGTTTATGAGGGAGGGGGTTCAAAATATTATGGACATAAAATATCGACTCCCCCTGCCCTTTAAATTTTAGACAGAGGGGGGTTCAAAATATTATGACCATAAAATATTGAGTCCCCCTGCCCTTTCAATTTAAGAGGGAGGGGGGTTCAAAATATTATGGCCATAAAATATTGAGTCCCCTTCCCTTTTAGTTTATGAGGGAGGGGGTTCAAAATATTATGGCCATAAAATATTGACTCCCCCTGACCTTTTTATTAATAAGGAAGGGGGTTCAAAATATTATGGCCATAACATATTGACTCCCCCTGCCCTTTAAATTTTAGAGGGAGGGAGGTTCAAAATATTATGGCCATAAAATATCGACTCCCCCTGCCCTTTTAATTTATGAAGGAGGGGGGTTCAAAATATTATGGCCATAAAATATTGAGTCCCCCTGCCCCTTAAATTTTTGACAGAGGGGGGTTCAAAATATTGTGACCATAAAATATTGAGTCCCCCTGCCCTTTCAATTTAAGAGGGAGGGGGGTTAATTCAAAATATTATGGCCATAAAATATCGACTCCCCCTGCCCTTTTAATTTATGAAGGAGGGGGGTTCAAAATATTATGGTCATAAAATATCGACTCCCCCTGTCTTTTAAATTTTAGACAGAGGGGGGTTCAAAATATTATGACCATAAAATATTGAGTCCCCCTGCCCTTTCAATTTAAGAGGGAGGGGGGTTCAAAATATTATGGCAATAAAATATTGACTCCCCCTGCCCTTATAAGTTTATGAAGGAGAGAGGTTCAAAATATTATGGCCATAAGATATCAACTCCCCCTGCCCTTTTAATTTTCAGAGGGATGGGTGTGGTTCAAAATATTATGGCCATAAAATATTGAGTCCCCCTGCCCTTTTAATTTTATAAGGAGGGGGGTTCAAAATATTATGGCCACAAAATATTGAGTCCCCTAGCCTTTTTGTTTTATGAAAGAGGGAGGTTCAAAATATGATGGCCATAAAATATAGAGTCCCTCTGTCTTTTAATTTGTGAAGGAGGCGGTTCAAAATATCATGGCCATAAAATATAGAGTCCCCTTCCCTTTAATTTTAGAGGGAGAGTGAAGCGAATGGATTCAAGATATTATGATAAAGAAATTGATGATTTTATTGTACATGTATGGATGGGTTTCATGTTGAGTGTGATAATGATTGCCTTATATTGGATTTCTGTTACATTTTTGGTGGGATTTTAAATATCTTGGCTGTAAAATATTGACCATGTCTTACCCAGGAGCAGAGAAGAATGATTTTAAAAGAATATATGCATTTCCACATATAAACAATAGAGCCCCAACACCAGACCCCTCACCCATGGGCTATGAAATTCACAGTTTTAGGAGAGGCATTTACTAAGGAGTTTATATGAATGAGTTTATTGATCAAAATGAGTTTACTCAGGTGACCTAAAAATGGATAAAGATGAAAATGATAAATCTCTCACCCAATATGTGTATTGTGTATGTACATTAGCTTTCATATGATATTTATGTTTCTTTTTAACCAACGAAAATGCAAAATAAAGATAAGTAAGGCAAAGGTCACAGGTGAAAGGTCAAAAGTTGAAAAATGGAAATGGAAAAATGGAAATCTTCAAGGTTAAGGTCCAAAGGTCAAGGTAATGTGGTATCCAATGAAAGGTCTTGCCACAAAGAATGCATGTGTGAAGTATGGAAACCATAGTCCTAACCCTTCAACAGTTATTGGCAAGGTTAAAAATTTTTTAAGTAGGTCAAACTCAAGGTCAAGGACAAAGGGTCAAATTTCTAGATATTAAGTGAAAGGTCTTTTCACAAGGATTAAATATTTTAAGTGTGAAAGCACTAACCTTAACCCTTTAAAAAGTATGGTCAAGGTTTGCTTCTTAAAAGTAGGTCAAACTCCAAGGTCAAAGTTCTTGGTGTCTACTGAAGGGTCTTCTGACAAGGATTTAATATTTGAAGTTTGACAGCACTAGCCAAAAGTTATGGCCAAGATTAAGTTTTTTCATAAGTAATGAAATCTCCAAGGTCAAAAGGTCAAGGTTGTTGGTATCCAATGAAAGGTCTTGTCACATAGATTACATATATGAAGTATAATAGTCTTGGTTTATACTGTTCAAAAGATATGGCCAAACTAAATGTTTGGATTTTTTGTTTAAAAGTGGGTCAAACTACAAGGTTGGGGTCAAAGGTCTAAGGACTAAATATGATAAGAACCAATTTTGGCCCCTAAAAAATCAACATTTTGGAATGATATTTAGATTTGTTTCAATTGATATTTATTTTGTAGAAGAGATTATTTTAGAAATATTTCCAATACATTTTTCACATTAATACGCACTCACTGGCTGTAAATGACATTAGAAGTAATGCTATTATTTGCTATCTAACATAAAAAGCCAAAAACATGCCTTTTTCTTGGTGTTTTTTTTTCTTATGGGAAACATAGAGCACAGTGTAGAACATACATACCTTTTCTGTCACTAATTAGTATTGATTAAATACATCTTTGGTAATAATATAAAGTTTGTTCTAGGCTGCGCTCTATACTTTTTAGGAAGAAGAAACTGCTTGAAAATCAGCAGTTTTATACAAAATATGCTAAAATGGCGGGAAAACATGAAGTTCATGATGTCATATTTCTAAAATAATGGCATTTTTATCAAATTGAAAATGACAAATAAAGGTCCATGTATAGCTGTACAAATTAAAGCTATAATAAAGTAAAATTTAGATTCCCATTTTAAGGGGCCATATGAGACAATTATCATATATTGCTCTTTGGTGGTACCCATGATCTTGTCATAAGGAATCCACAAATGAAATATGAACTTCAAAGTCATAGCTCCACTAAATCAAAATTTATGGGCAAAAGTTATGGGCAAATTAAAGTTTTTGTGGACAAACAGACAGACAGACCGACACAATAAAGAATGTATACTCTCAAAACTTCAGGGGCATAAAAAGATAATCAATAGAATAAGTAGTTGAGCACTAATGGTATCAAATAATAAATCTTAGAGTAGACCTACATGTTCTATTTTTACTTGCCCAACTTGCCATCATTTTTCACAATCCAAGGTTATTATTGATGACTAATTTATTTGCCACAGTTAGTGTACCACATTTTGACTAGGTCCTTAAAATTTCTATAACTAACAAATGAGAGACCATTTTAAATAGACTTTGTGTAAGAGAGGCGAATAGAATGTTTTAGCAATGTACATTGTTTTTTCTTTGTCAATTTTTTTTTCAGTAAGCACATGTGCAAATGAAATTTTTAATTGTGTGCAAGACAACTAGAACAATCAGAGATATTTTAATTTTCTTTGAATATATTACTTCTTTAAGTTATTTCATAAAATTGCAATAAGAATCCAT